GAGAGAGTACCCAAGTTAAAGAACTCAGAAAATAATCTCTTGTCGAACCGAGGCTCGAGTAAAACTCACTGACTGCGTCTCTACATGGACGTCAATAAGCCGTTTACGAGTACTATCCCGGTTATGATCATATTGGGGATATGGTGTTTACATGAGCACAGAGAGATCGGGTTATTCATGTTCCCCGCTTACATGATAAATACTAGTAACCTGGCATTTCGATGCCTTTTCTCATCTAAACTTTCAGTATTTGTATCTCTCTATCATGACAAAGACGAAACTCCTCTCAAGAAGTGAGACGCTTTTGCCGCCGCCGCCGCCGCCATCACTGTTAACTGATTAACTGCTACCAGCTGAGGACTTACTTTCCTCTTCTTTGAAAAAAATGTTCTTATGTCCATGTTGTCTGTGGGAGAAAACATATCAAACCAAGAGATCGTCAGCTTTGATTTTCGCTGTATTAACCATTTCCTGAACATTTGGTGTGTGTGCCTTACATCCGCTACCGGCATCGCTTCATACAACAGATCTGAGCTGTCAAACTATGACAACACTCCTTGAACATGCATGCGCTATGTGAGAATCTGCCTTGGTACAAAGTAGCAGTGAAAACATGGTACGGCGTTTCATTGATTTGGCATTCTCCCAATAAGCAAGTGGAATGGATTTGATATGAAGCACTGACACAGCGTTCTACAAAGTGCGGTGAGTGGACAGGCCGATTCATGGACTTTCCGAATAGTAGAAGTGGGGGGGGACTAAACTAATAATTTGAAAAAGTGGGGGGGGACTTGTCCCACCCTCATATAATGGCTGCGACGCCCATGAATGAGAGACGTTCTGCAGTAAGGAGGGGGTTTCACCGACGGCAGGTGGCTCTGACTTGTATGTATAGTTTGATAGTTGTTTTTACTTTACACGACACTGTTCAACACTTCATTCTGCTTCACTCTTTCGCTAACGATTTTGAAGACACCCGCGTTCTTGCGACATGTAAATACTATGCTTCCTATGTTTTGGTGCGGACTGCGTTCACACCAGCGATTAACCGCTCCAGAGTTCACTAGCAAGCGGTCCGAGACCACCTCTTTTAAGCGGACCAGAGTCCGGTTGTTTAGTTCACACCGACCCAAACGAACCGCACCAAGCGGCTAAACGCACCAGGGTTCGATTTAACCGGACTATAAAAGGCTGGTGAATGCAACCTTAGTTCATCAGAACTCTGATGAACTAAGTACGGCAAAGTACTTGGTGTGAAAACGCCTATTGTTTAGGACATTTCTAAAGAATGTAAAACATGACTTTAAACAATCTAAACCCCTTGTTTTTTTTTTACACGATAGATTTCTCACATGTATGGCAACAAGTCAAAAGGTAGGTAAGAGCTTGGTCAGAGGAGTTTATTCATTACAAACATGTCCACATCATGGCTACAGGCAGCTGAACATAAGGTTCTCCTCCAGTCTTGGAAAGGTTTGTCTGAAAGTCTCTCCTGGTTTCATATTCTTCATGTGAGCACTAACAGCTGTTTATGGTCCTTGACATTTACAGAAAGGTTTCAAAATTACTGAGGTTCTACAATCATAGGAAAGTTACAGCATTTGAAAGAAAGGGTTGTAAAATTCCTCATTTCCTGTTGCTGGATGGATTCTACATGACCCACTATGACTTCTGACTTTACCTTTCCCTCCTTCAAAGCTGTTCTTAAGACTTTCATAAATATTGAACGAAACAATGTAATAAATACAGCAGCACAGGATTTCATGTGCTGTTTTTGTCGGGTCAGACTCAGACATGTTTAAAACTCTAGTGAAATATTGTGTCCATTCTTATGTAAACCAGTGTTAGAACTCTTCTGATAAATAATCTCATCTTGATAGAAGTCATCCATCAGCTTCTGTCCCAACTCCTCTACTGGCCACTCCTCCACAAACCCCAAGCTGTACAAGCCCGGTGCTTGCTCCAGATCAGCCCAGTCCGAATCAGCTGGCAGGCTGCTTACAGAGCCCTGCAGGGCCGAGGAGATGCTCACCAAAGCAGAGTGACTAAGGCTGTCTTCATGCATTGTCTGCTCTTCTCCAGTCAAGTGACTTAGATGAAGAGCTTCGTCTTCTTCAGCTCCAGAATCAAAATCAGGCTTACCGAGAGACCTGTGTACAAAGGTTGTGTCCCTGAAGCCAGCTGGATGAGCGTGCTGCTCTGAGTCTGACTCTCTGCTCTGAACACTGTGAAGCATATCATCATCATCATCATCATCATCATCATCATCATCATCATCATCACCACCATCTCCATCTGCTCTTTCACTCCGATCAACATCTTCTGCTTGGCCTTGTATCCAGTCAGACTGTTCTGACCAGAGGAGCGAGTCACTCTGATTTGCCTCCAGCCTGCTGATATTAAACAAACCTGGGACATCCATTCCCAAGTCACCGGTCGCAGAGTGTTTCCCAACTGTCTCAAAGTCTCTAATATCTGACTCCCAAAGAGAACCAGATCTATTTGTGGCTCCAATAACAGTATCAGGGGTGAAGCTTTGTGCCCCACTATTAATGGTGGTGCTGCAGCTCTTTGGGTCACCATCAGCACAAAGCTCACTGGTAGGAAATGCAGCTGTGGAAACATTTTCTGCAGAACCAAGATTGGTCGTATCATCATAATCAATCGCAAAGCTGGAAGCTGTAGTTGTAGCGTTGGCACCAGAAGCATCAGTGCTGATGTTGTGACTGGACAAACCACTCACAGAAGCATGTTCGGTACTTGAGAATTCCTCCGGTGTACTCTGGTCAGACATGATGTCCTCTGTAGAGAACTCTTTCAGCTGGCTGTCCGTCTCATCCATCACCACCTCTGTCTCTCCCACGTCCTCCTCTTCCTCTTCCTCCTCTCCGTTTCCCTGCTGAGTGACTACATCACTTGTTCTCCATGCTTTTGTGTCATTGGTCTTCTTAGGACTGGCTTCTTCCTCCTCCGTTTCCTGTGGAAAAGTCTGGACTTCCTTATAGTTCTCATCTTTTTCCCCTTCCAGCTTCTCTTCTGGATCTTCCCAGTCTCTTGTCTCCTCTGCTTGAAAAGACATCTCCTTCTCCCTTGGTTTCACTTCACTTCTTTGTCTGATGAGCAAGCCTGGACTGCTGACTGTGTTCTTGATAGCTGCTTAGAGAAGCAGGAGAACATATAAAGCCAGAGATTAAACAGCAATACTGTCATTCAACAACCCCCATCACCCCACCAACAAACTGCTCTGCCTGCTGCCGTGTGGCAGGCAGTACCGCAGCATCAGGACTAAAACCACCAGACTCAGGGACAGTTTCATCCCACAGGCCATAAGACTGCTAAACTCATGAGCTCTGTGAAGTGCCTTCATAACCTTAAGCATCATTCAGTTTGCATTTCAAATATAAATGTATTGCTACAATAAGCAGTATTGTATATTCCGTTCTTAGCTAATCTTAGTCTATTTGACATGTATATAGTCTACTTCTCCTGCATTACTTGCACACTGGTCACTTGCAACTTTTTTATTTTATTTCTATTATGTTTCTTTTTACACAGTTTTTTTTATGTATTCTGTGTTATATATATTTATGTAGACTGGAAGTGAAGCCTTTCATTGCCTTAACTACACTGTAGCTACTGTGCATATGACAATAAAACCTTTATCATAGATCAATGACCAAGTCGTATCTACAATGCGAAATACTGAGTGTTATTATTTCATTGCACATAATCACTGATGTATTAACTTATCTCCAGTTATGTGATTTGGAGAAATTTGTTTCCAGAACTTACGTATGTTGCCGCACATGGAGTCACAGCAGGAGCACACTGAGGCTGCGGCCGTCAGCTCCTCCCACCTGCACACACAAACATCAGTGCACATGCAAACACACACAATCTACCACTGAATTCACACCAAATATATTGACACTGATTTATATGATGTAATGATTGCTCTGATTTAACTGCGCTACACTTGAAGTGGTTTATGTTAATAGCGTTGCTTACCTGCCAGCAGCCTGGTCGTAGCTGCAGGACTTTGTAGGAGTAGGAAGTGGTGAGACCGACTGACATTGAACAGTGGAGGTACAGCACCTACAATCAGACACACAGCAGATTATAAAGTCGCTGCTGGGTTTATAGATCCACTAGTTTAGTTAACATGTCATTAAGGTATGTACTGCGCAGCTTGCAGGATCCTTCCAGCACTTCTTCAATATCTATCTTAGTCTTCAGTCTTAGCGATTCTGGTAGAAGGATGCTCTAATGCAGCCTTTCCCAAACTCAGGGTCACGACCCAACATG